ACTGTTTTGATTTATCTTTGCCTCCTCAGAGACTCATACAGTGCCTAGTTCATAGTAGTTACTCAGTAAATATTTGTTGAATTGAACTGGATTTTGTCCTAGACAGGACCAAATCTCATCTTATTCCATCAACTGTTGGAAATATGGAATGAGATTGAGGAAAAGAAATTTTGAATTTTTTTCCTAACTCAACCAATTCTTTCCCCAACTCTAGTGTCGCAGAATACAATCCTGGTGCTGTGGGTGCCAAGGTTGTTTAGAAGCTAATTGTAAAAACACAAACAAAAAGATTTGGGGGAATAATTTTAAGCCCCGAAAAAATATCATAACACAGGTACTATTTTTTCATGTCTTCTGGGACCTAGCTCATCCAAAGGCATGGTTTTGGTAGTTTAATATTTTAGGTGGGTATTCACATACATCAGATGTGGTCTTTAGGTAGGAGTAGTCTTAGATATAAGCAAATGAGCAAAAGGCTCCTTTGAAAGCTCCAGTGTTGACAGTAAGCCAAATAGTCACTTCCCAAGGCTCTTCATGCTTCCTTGTCGCCGGAGCAAGAGAAGTCTCTGTCCAATTTGAGGTAGGCATTTTGCACACCCAAATAATCCCTAGTCTTGTGAGTTTGGCCCTTCCCATTAGTTGTGCTGACTTCTAGGGAAATACAGCCACTTTAAAGTTCCTACTTTAATTCAAGAAACTTATTTAATCCCAATTATTCTGGACAAATTCCCCAAACTAAAAATAGAGGCAGTAAATATGAGACCAAAAGGGTCTAACCATGACTGTCATTTACTTAAAACAGAAAACACCAAGGCTTGGTGCCAACATATAATGATTTCAGACAGTGTGGCATGCTCTGAATTGTAGGGATTGATTTGGTGGATAAGTTAAAAAGCTAGCTGAAGTTGCCAATCTTTTTTTCCTAACTCAACATGGTAAATTTGAGATGATATTGTCAAAATTTTAAATCGACAATTGCATATAATTTTATGACCAATTTCATGCTATGGGAAAATGTTAGAGTATAATTCTTAGGTTCCAGAGAATGGGAATGGGGGTGGGGCCTAAGGTATTTAGGGGTATTTGACATTGCAACAGTCATTATGGTTGATGTCAGATGATTGGGTAATTTTCTGGTTAGTTAATTTCACTAGAATATTAACATTAAGCCTCCACCATGTTTTTGTTTGTTTATTTTGCTTTTGTTTTAGTTGGCTAGGTGATAAAGAAGGATTTGGAAACAGGATGACCTGCATTCAAAACCTGCTCTTGTCACTAGTTCTGTGATCCTAGGGAAAGCTATTTAATTTGTAATCCTAATCTGTAAAATGTACGTAATAAACACACCCTCATCACAGGGTTGTTGGGAGGATTGAATGAGATAACATGTGAAGTGCTTTGCAAACCTTAGAGCATGATATAAATGCTAGCTATTATTATTAAGGGTTTCTTATCCATAAATTAGGGTTAGAGATACTTAACTTCAAGGTGCTTAGAGATCTTCTCTCAAAAGACATCATTCATTTCAGGGGGACCAGATACTACTATTCTTCCCAAGAGGCTGATAGTCTTGTAGGTGATGGTAAGATGGGGGAGTCTTGTCTGGACGTTTCAACTTAGATGAAAGCAGTCCCATCCAATTCAGATAAATTCATGAAGACTTTAAGTGAAGGATGACAGAAAAGTCCATAGGGCTACCAAGTTAGAGCTGGAAGGGATTTCAGAGGCAGAATCTAACCTCCTCATTTTACAGATAAGGAAACTGAGACAAGGAGAGGTTAAGTTACTTGCCCAAGGTCACACACATCATAAGCAGAGTAGTTGGACGTTGAAGTCAAATCTTCTGCTCCAAATCCACTTTCTTTTTCCCTCCTGAATCATTCTGAACTCTTTAAGTTTTGACTTGTCAGACATGATAGGACCCCCATCATCTTGTGTAACCACTATAGAATTAGTGAAAGTTATAGAAGCATAATATCATTGAGCCACAGATTTGGAGCTAAAATTGACCATGGAGGCCTTCAAGTGAGACCTTCTTTTTTGACAGAAGAGGAGCCTGGAATTTAGAGAGAGGAAGATTTGCTCATAAGGGAAGATACAGTTCAGGATGTTCAGCCACCTGAACATTCAAACCTGGTCTGAGTACAAGGCAGAATGCTCATTACACCAACAAGAGTGAGGACATATACAGGAAAAGCCTTTTCTCTGGAGAAGCTGGTGAACACTTTCAGTAAGGCAACGGGACGAAATCCCCCAATGCTTCCCAACTGTGCAAAAATTGACCATAAAAATTCTTGATTGATTCCCATTAAACATTCTTCATTGCAATGGGGGAGGTGGTGATCTCAAACTACAGTATCATTGCCAGGATTTCAAGAAAGGAAATAGAAGTGTAGCTTCCCCGTGTTCTGAGGGCTCGATAAACGCTGTGCCTTAACTAGGGTAAGGTGATCAGGGCTATGCCCCAGGGACCCGTAATTTTGGGCAATGGTATCAAACAGAAGTAGAAATGAGGCCACTAAAACCATGCATAAGGATCCCTGTGGGCTGCATATTGACTTAGAAAACCATATATTAATGTCTCAGTTCTATTGTATTTTTATTTATTTTGTTAAATATTTCCCAGTTACATTTTAATTACATCTGGTTGGTGCTTCACTTAGTAGTGTTTGACACCTTTGATTTAGAGAATGCTGACAGCACTCATGATCCTTCAAGGCCACTGAAAGCACCGAGTTGAGCATCTAGTTAGCAAGACTAATCGGTTAGGATGGGAAGGTACAAGGTGTCACCCCCACCACGTCCACTACTTTTGCCCTGGGTGCCAATTCCTAGTTATGCCTCTGCTTGCTAAACACTTTGAAAATGTTAAAGGAAAGGTGTCAGGCCAAGGGAAGAAAGGGACCATGGAAAAGGTCTAGCGGCCATCTGCTAAGCATTGACATCACTGATCTGGTGGGAAAAGACACGTGTGATTTGGAGCTGGCTCCTGCCCACACACCACAGATATATTGGATAGCCTGAGCCTGGCGCATTATGTAATAACAGGTAATGGATATTGAAGTGCCGATATGCCTGGAAGGATGAGCAGCCCTTCATTCGCTCATAAATGAGTTCCTGAAGTAGCAGGTGATTTGTTGAGAAAGGTCTTCCTGGTCCTGGTCAAACCAAAGAGGCCGGGGAGTTATTTGGCAGCCTCATCCTTCAGGTGCAATGAGCTCCTGAGTTTCTCATTCTCTTTCTTCCCTTCCATTCAAGGTGCTGCAAATGACTTTTCTGCTCATCAGTTCCTCAAAATGACTTAACTGGTTTTATAGTTAAGATGAAATTCAATTCAACAAACCCTATAGATATTTGTGAAAAGATAGAGAGCCTTGCTCCAGACCAGGGAAACCTAGGTGGAAGTCCTGCCTCTGACACATTGACAGAATGACTCAGTGATGGGGCTGCAGAGTCAGAAAGAACAGGGCTTCAAGTCTTGTCTCTAACACCTACTGCCTGTGTGACCCTGGGCAAGGAACCTTGAAGGAACCCAGGCAACTCTCTAAAACCAAGTTGCAGACAAGGCTCTGACCTGCATTGTAAGAGGGAGTTTCCATGCTGGGAGTCCCATATACCAATGAAATCAGGTTTAGTACCTCCATTAAACCTAGGGATAATGTGCTGGGAATGCAAAACCCAAAATGAAACCTTTTCCACTTTTAAAGGGTTTGTATTCTACTACAGCATAAAATAAGTCAATAAATATAATAATTGACTTTGATACAGTGCTTTTAAGATTTGCAAAGGACTTTATACTCTCTATATTCTCTCTTTTATGCCTCACAACACCCTTGTGAAGCAAGTGCTATTTTTCCCCCTCATTTTGCAGATGAGGAAACTGAAGGTCAGGGTCACATAATTCATAAATGTCTGAAACAGGATTCTAGCCACTGTGCCATGCTGACTTTCAAAGTAGTAACAGCAGGCAGAGTAGCAGCAAAATTCTCATCCTGATTGCCCAGTAGACTGTAAGCTTTCTGATAACAGGGACTATCTTGTTTTCATCTTTGTACGCCGCCCCCTCCAGGAGCCTAGCACTGTACCTTGAATATAGAAGGTACTTACTATACGTTCGGGTTTTTTTTTTTAGAATGAATTAAATCAAAGTCTGATCTTCAATAGAAGGTAAACTGCTTGAGGGTAGAGACTGTTTCATTTTTGTCTTCAAATTGACTAGGGTATAGCAGAGTGCCCGGGACATATTAGGTGCTTAATACTTGCTTGTTGAATGGAATCAAATATTTTGGCTAAATGTGACCTCTCCTTCCTCCAGTCTTCTTATAGCACTTTGTCTACACCTCTCCTTTGACCCCATAACCCTTTACCTTGGATCTTAATTATCTGTGTGCATAGCATACCCCTTTATTAGACTGTGAGTTCCCTGATAGCAGGGACTGTGTTTTTTTCTTTCTTGTACACCCAGTATCCATCACATAGAGGGCTATTAACAAGTATATGATGAATTATTGAACTTTATCAGTAAAGGATTTCAGTCATCTTATTGGCACTTTCAACATCCTGCTCCTACATCCCCCCCCCCAAAAAAAAAGAAAAAAAGAAAAAGAATTCCTCTCTCTTCAATTCCAAAACTCAGTGAATCTCATCTCATGCTAGTCTCTGGAGACTGAGGGTTGGCATCAAAGCAAGAATCCCAAGAAAAGTAAACCTCACTCTCATATTTCCCACAACAGAGATTCAGGAAGGATCCGCAGTGCTCAGGTTGAAGGACTTTCCCTCAGAGGGGAGGGAAATGTGTTTAGGGATATTGAACTCCATTTTGAATCCTCTCCTTTTCCCTCCTCTGTTCTTATTCACTAAAATACTGACTTATGCCATCAGTAAATTCAGCCTGGAAAAAAAATCTCCTCATGCCATCAAGAAATAACTCCAAACTTAGAGTGTGCACTGAAAATATTCCCGATGAAATCATAATCATATATTTATAGTCTTTTGGATTGTGAAGGAAATTTTGTTTCCCATGATATTTTTCATTGGAATGACCAAAGACAAAGAGGAAGGCTCAGAGAGAAAGAGTGTTCCCAGCAAGGAAATAATGATGGTCATCATTCTAAGTCACTGGACTAGGAGATGATCTCTCACCTCTTCCTCTTTCCTCCCCATCCCACCCTACATGGAAGGCCATTGCCTTTGCTCCAGAAGAGTAACTATCCAGCCTGATGAGTGGGAGATAGAATGACAAATGCCCTATTGACATCCCTCTCCCTTGGGACTGCTGCAGCCCATTAGACCTCCTCCCCGTTCTCACTGAGGGAGATGGTGTGGATCTTAATGGTGGGCAGTTGGCGGCTCTCTTGGATGGCTGGACCTGAGGACCCCACGCAGCAGCAGACCCTCAGAAAGCTTTTGCTTCTTACCCGGGCCGACGTGCAGGTAGACTGGTCGTGGGACACAGTATTCTTAGCGGGCCCACTGGATGTGGAAGAGAAAAATTTCCACTCACAGACCCCCTCTGACTTGGAGATCTTATAGAAGGTCTCCCCTGATCCCACTGGGATACGCACCAAGTCCTTATGCTCTTCTATGGCGTGGCTGGGTGGGTTGAGGGTATAGCCAATGGCATGTTTGGTGGACTGTTTTCTTCGGAGACACTGGATTCTCAGGACATTCTGAAACGCCTTTTTAAACTCTTGACTGGAACAGGGATAGATGATGGGGTTGATGCAGCTGTTTAAGTATCCGAGCCAAAAGACTATTTTAAAAACAGTATCCGAGGGCTTAGCTTCAGGGAAGAAAGACCCTAGAATAAAACACAAATATATTCACATACATTATTTAGCTGGGGTGAAGCATAGCAGAGTAAAGTAATATGCACAAGGCTATAAAGTATGGTATGGGGCAGAAAGACAGATCTTGAGATAAAAAAAGGATGAGAAAGCTGACTGTAAAGCTTATCACTGTCATTAGTAGGCTGTGTCACTCTGGACATGTTAGTTAACCTCTCTGAGCCTTCATTTGTAAGATGGGGATAATACTTGTTTCACCTTTCTCACTGGGCTATTGCGAGACCTTAAAACACTATTAGAAATTTGAGCTATTTTTAAAAATAATGATGTATGTAATTTTGGGAAAGTCTTTCAATCTCTTTGAACCTCAATTTCTTCATCTGTAAGATGAGAATTATATATGCGGCATCTGTTTCACGGTGTTTTTGCAAAAAGCAGGTGAGAACTGTTTGTAAAGTGTGCTGTTAAGAATAACATGATTAATGAATGGCATCTCTGCATTTACAAAGTTTGCCAGTGGTTTGTCATACATTTATGGAATATCTTTGGAAATCTTTGGAAAATATATATATATCAAACCAAATCAAGAAGGAGGCCTTTGAATTTAACTTTGGCTCCAGCCAGGCTGCTCTCCTCACTGTCTCCTGAACACACCATGTTTATTTTTATATCTGGGCCTTTGCTTTCCTCCCAATACTCAGCAAACTGCAGTGGTTCCTGGTCACACCCAGGATCAAATAGAAAACCCCTCTGTTTGGTGTTCAAGGTCCTTCATAACCTAGGCCTCTCCCTTCCCCCACCATTGCAGTCTGTTTATACCTAACCACCTACTCTTTGACCCAGTGACAATGGTCTCCTTGCTATTCTAGGAAGAAGACCCTCCATCTCTCAGCTCTGGGTATTTTCTCTGGCTGTCTCCCATGCCTGGAATGTTCTCACTCCTCATCTTTGCCTTCTAGCTTTCCTGGGTTCCTTTAAGGTCTAGCTAAAATCCCACCTTCTACAGGAAGTCTTTCTGAATCTCTTGTAATTCTAGTGTTCCCCCTGTTAATGATTTCCTTTTTTGTTCATATGTTGCTAATTTGTACATATTTGCTTGATTATTATGCCCCCCACCCCCCAGCCTTAGATTATGAGCTCCTTGAGGACATGAACTGTCTTTGGCTTTTCTTTGTATCCCTAGAGCCACCACGCCTGATACACGGTAAGTGCTTCATAAGTGATTACTGACTAACAATGTGGAGTGTTCTTCTCATTCTCAATCTATTCAAATCAATCAATCACCGTCCTTCAAGGTCCAGCTCAGGTGCCTCTTCTAGGAAACCATCTCCCGGAATGACTTTCTCTTTTGTCTCCTCCCGAGCCTTACAGCATGGACAGCTCCTTTGGTGCCTAATATTATTCATTCCCCCCAGAGGCCACATGGTATCAAGCACTAGACTGGGAGACTAGAAGGACTTGGGTTTGAATTTTATCTTTAACATTATTAATTGTGCAACAGAGAGAGCCTTTCTAAGTTTTGGTTAAATTAGTAACAGATATCTTTGTAATAATGAATTAGATTTAATTTAATAATCTTTATAATCTTTTCATTCTCTTTGTAATCATTCTCTAAAGGCTTATGCCAAATGTTAGCTATCTCTATGTTCCCTTCTAGCTTTAAGGGCTAAGCAACTTTGGGCAAGTCACTTAGCCACTCCAGGCTTCACTTTCCTTCTCTGTAACACGAGGCAGGAGGGGTTGATCACTACTGTCTCTTCCAACTATAAATCCTATGAACTTGTGAAAGGAGCAGATATTGACTCATACATCCCACCATCTAGTGGACTTAAATGCCCATCTAAGGATGGGCAAGAGGGGCCATGGAATGACTACTTAACAGGACCTTGTCACTTGGGTCAATCAGTCAGTCAAGAAACATTTATTAAGCAAAATGATGTCATTTTGGTTCTCTTTGAGAAGGAAAGACAACAATTAACCATTAAGTACCTACTATACGCTCCGTACTAAGACAGTCCCTGCCTTCAAGGAGCTTGAACTTTAATGGAGGAGAAAACAAGTAAACAAATACGTTCATATAAGCTATATACAGGATATATTGGAAATATTAAAAAAAGCAAAGATACCAGAATTAAGAGAGCTTGGAAGAGGCTTCCTGTAGAAGATGAGATTTTAAGACAGACTTAAAGCGAACCAGGGAAACCAGCATGAAAGCTAAGCTGCCTCCCTTCCCCCCTCATCCCTCCAAGTGGTTTTAAGATCTTCCTGTATTAGTGCTCTCATGTGAACACAAAAGTTTCTCTCTGGTATTACTTCCTCAGTGAATCATTCAAAGGACAAGTTGGATGAGTGGAGAAGGAATGAGGTGGGGTGGGCAGTGAGTTTCACTCTAATGATGGCTTTAATCAAACAGAGGGGAAGGAAGGGCCAAAGGCCACCACGTCTGGCTAGCTGCAGAGGAAACTTTAATAAAGCACAGACTTGGCCGTACAGACCAACGTTCCCTCCTCCCACATGGCCAGTTAACACTAACAAGCAGCATCCCTAACAAGATTGCCTGTACTTTGCAAAAGCCTGAGAGTGTGCCTAATGCCTGCTGGGGAGAGCTGAGTGTGTCAAAACTACCTTGCCTGGGAGTCTCTCTTCTGAAGGAATTAGATTGGAGATAAATTTTCCTTTTTTGGAAATTTTTTTGTAGAGGAAAAATATAAAAATTTCTGAACTCTGAGCCCACATGCTAATGGCTGGTTATGAAGTTGTCTGAAATTTGTCATAATCCTATCAAGTGGTGACATTCTTGAATTGGTTATTATTTGAGGTTAAGTGTCAGAAAGCAAAAATGAGTGGGATGATAATAGCAATGAAAATATTTCAGATCACATGCTTGAGGTATGAAATTTTAGGATCTCCTTTTCTTTACTCCCTCATTATTTCTCTTCCCATTCCTTTTCGTTGACCCCTTCCTTTCTCCTGAGCCCCTCTCTACCCAAGACTTTGTGCTATCTTTTGGGTGAAGGCCTTTCATTTGGTTCCCCATCCCTTCTACCCAACAACACCCTAGAATTCAAAATTCTCTCTATCCTTCTAACCTCTCTCGACTACAGCAGAATTCTCATTTTATCAGCATTTCTCAGATATGTGTTAGGAAAGGCATAGATCATAGATTTAGAGCTGGAAGGGGCCTTAGAAGGCATCTGGCACATTTTATAGATGAGGAAATTGAGGTCCCATGAAGTGAAATCCCCATGATTACACTGGTAATACACCACAGGCAAGAGTCAACAGTTTGCCACTCGGAATATGAATGTGGCAGTTTCTCTGACTTGATTTCTCCCAAACTATTTCACATAAATGTGACTGACTAAAATCCCTAATCTTCTCAGTAGGTTTTAGTAATCCAAATAAGATACCTGATTGAATATCAGAAAGATTGAAGGGGCTCTGTGTGTGGGTGTGTATGTGTGTATGTGATTTTTTTTTGTGTACAGTGGGGGAGAACAGGAGTGAGGATATGGTTCTTAAATCACACCATTCAGTGTATTTCCAGGTTTGATGAATTGTCAATGTGGAAGAGAGATTAGCATTGATCTGTTTAGTTGCAGAGGGTAGAACCAGAAGCAATGGGTGCTTATTTGCAGAGAAAGGTTTTGGTGTGCAACAATGAAAGTCATCCCACAGTGCAATGAACACTCTTGTGCCTTGCCTGATATTAACAACCAGAAGACTGCAGCAACAAACTCATATCGCCATTAAGGACAGTTGCTCCACCATCCTTGGGTTCAAACACCACAGTCCCAGATGTGGTTACGGAGGAGATATAAAGAACACTGACAAAAAGAAAGATAGGAAAGTCACTGTCCTTGATAAATGGTTAATCTGTCTTCACCTGAAGATCTTCAAGGAGGGCAAACCCATCACCTGTCTAGGCAGCTCCTTCCACTTTTAGACAATTGTTAGGAAGTGTCTCTGGATATCAAAGCTAAATTAGCCTTTTATCCCCTTCTTCCCATGACTTGTACGTCTTCCCTCTGTGGCCAACCAGTAGGATGGTCCATCTTTTGAACATTAATCTTTCCAATACTTAAAGACAGTTATTACCACTCTTCTCCAGGCTAAATACCTCCACTTCCTGCAGCTAGTTCTCATATGGATTGAAGCAGTTAAAGACCCCCCCACCAACTGGGGTGTTCTTTTCTGTACACTCTATAGTCTATCAATCCATAAACAATTATGAAGCACCTACTATGTGCTAGGCACTGTGCTAAGCACTGGGGGTTCAAAAAGAGGCAATGTCCTTTTAAAGATGTGATGCCCAGAACTGAGTATAATACTGAGGGAGGTGGCAAAACCGGGATGGGATTGTTATTATTATTATTAATATTATTGTTATATTCTGGATAAAGTCTGACCAGAGCAAATCGCTTCCCCTTTTTAGATTTTAGTGGAGGTCCAGAAAAGAAAATTTATTTGTCTTGCTATAAAAATCAGAGCTAATGGCAAAACTGGGAACATAAGTCTATGGTTTCTTCTTTTATCCTCTTGCCATTATACTGTATTGTCTCCCCAGCTTTATTCTGTAGTTTTTAAATTTATGGAATAAAACAAGCATTTCCATAACATAGTATAACAAAGAAGAGGATTGTACATGAAACTGTAAATCCATCGCAGTACAACTTTCTATTCCTTTCAAATATATAATGAAGTTATCATGTAAATTTCTTTTTTTCTTCCCTCCCTCACTCTAGAGATGGTTCCCATTAGACATATACACATATGTAAAATGATTCTCCATATATTTCTATTTATCAGTTCTTTCTCTGAATGTAGATGGTGTCTTCATATGGCCTCACTTTTTTATGGAACATTTGGTAACCCCAGAATGAAACAAAAACACTAAACATGATTGATTCTGGAGTTTGTGGACATTTAAGCTTGTTTAGGACACCATGGTATAACGGATAAGAGCATTGGACTTGAAGTCAGGAATAGCTTGGTTGAATCTCACCACCTACGC